TCTTTCCCAAGACAGCAAAGGAAAATAGCACTTTCTAAAATAAACAGCTAATGTTAAGACAATGCCAGGCTTTAATAGAGCATTTATTTTGGATAAGGTAGTAAATTGTACAGATTTCTAGTACGTTTTCTTTTGTCATATAGAACAGTGTAGCTGATTTACCAGATCCTCACACCCTTTAGAGGAGATCACTGAATTAGGCTTCTAATCCTTTTGAGGACCTGGGCCTAAGTGTATTTTCTTTCATCATCCCATCTGATGGTAGATGGGAGATGTTCTATACAGATTTATTTTTCTCAACACCAAAGGGAGCAATACCAGTTGACATTACAGTCAGCACACAGCAGTTCTGCTACAGCACTGCTCATCTGTGCAGCAGAACAAACCTGTCTGACCATACCAGTCACCTTCTACAGCTCACTGCAAATGCCATTCTTGGAGTTCCCTTCCAAAAAGGACAGTCTTGACCTTCAGCCCATCCTAGCCTAGATGAAATCACTGCAGAGCAGTGCAACAAGGTTTTCAGGGTCACAGTTCTTGTGGGGACACGACCCAAGCTGAGCCCTCCCACAACATCCACAGCAGTGAGCTAGGGACAACTGTATATTCCTCTGAAAAACCTGAAGGATCCAGCCAAGTTTCTGTCCAAGACCAGAAGACAAAATGGAGGTAAATGTAGACAAAGCTCAATTGGGTGAGAGTAATTAGAACTCAGAACTGCAAACAGTTGAGTATTTAAAAGCAACAAAATGGTAGAGAGCAGAATTTTTGGAAGCATTTATCTACTGTCACAAGGTACCAGTACAGTTAAATCTGTGCAAAGTTCCAACAGCTTAAGTATCACATTTCAAAAGTGAAACTTTTACTACATGAAGCCAACTACTGCTGGAGCATTTTAGACACCCAACCCGATGTTCCTTACCTGTACAACTACTTACCTCATCATGCATCAAAATAACAAGAGTTGTCTTAACAGAGCAACTTCTGATAAGAAAGGTAAGACAGTGCACAGTAAATAAACTGTATTTTAATGTGTTACAAAAGTAGTTAATAGCCAGACTACCTCCCCAAACAGACATCTGCTACAGCTAGGTTTGACAAAGGTTTCTTTCAAACAGCTTTTCCCCTGCTCTCTTCTGTCTGTCTGTAACACAAGCACCACATACATTCAGGGTTCAGGTTTCACGTGTGGGCTCTGCACAAAGCCCAACATCCTTCCCCAGCCTCGGGGGCTGGTGAGTCACACCTGCAAGAGATTATCTGCATTGTCATGTGTCTCTGTCACCAAAACGACACACGCAAAGCAGTTCCAGACAGTTACTTCAGTAACAACCAAAAGACATGAAGACAAGAAACTGAGCAAGAACATCAATGTGTCAAACTTTGAGCTAAAGCAAAAAGCAAAAGTTGGCTGTGTTTTCTCAGTTTGCCAGGTATTCTTTTAATGACAAACAGAAGAACATCTCGCTCTGACTGCTTTGGGTTTTCAACAAGTGGTCTGGTTTTATAGTTTATTACAATACCTTCTTGGTACTGCAAACCAACAAGGACAAGATGCAATCAAGTTTCTAAGCATCTCTAAATTTGAAATGTGAATTTTGTTGGTTTTTTCCTGAAATTCGGAAAATTCTTAGCCATTGTTCACTTTTGTTAGAAGATAACTCAAAGTACAACAACATCTAGGCCTGTTTTTAAAGGAGCTGTCTTTCCTGATACATCTCTGAACATAGTCACTCCTCTCGAGGTCAGTACATTCACAAATAGCTCAATTAAGAACAGTATCACCAATGAATTGACTACTGGAAAGAGACAAAATTTACCAAACATACAGAAATAGAAGTTTTACCATAGCAATTATGCATATCAAAAGATGACACCTGTAATTCATTTTAAAAAGATACAAAAAAAAAAAAAGAGAAAAAAACCTGAATTACAGAAAAGAAAGTCATATTTATTTAATGAAAAACTAGAAGTTAATAAAAATTAGCAAATACACAAAAAATATACACAAACAGCAGCAATACTATGTAGTGACTTACAAAGGGGATGGGGCAGGAGGGGAAGCAGCGGCAGGGACCGCTCAACATGGCTTGTCAGTCAAAGGGGGAGGAAAAAAACACAAACAAAAACACAAAACAGTATCCTCTTCAACAGTACAATCAATCTACAAACAAGTTTTTAGAATTATTTTACAACATTTCCTGTAGAATCGATTCTTAATACAAAAGATGCCCATTTTGGGTGTATATATATTTTTTCAGTGGTTTACTGTTGACTTATTTTAAATATATTAGTTACTACATGCAACTGCTTCCTGTAATTTAACAGCCTTTCCTTTTATTTACCTTCATTTACGTCTAACCCTCCATCTACCAAATAATTTGTCTGACAGTCAAAGATGGTTACCCTAAGTTTCTGCTAAATTAAATGCAACGGTTTAAACACTGGCCCGAAGAGGTTGGATTGCCCTTTCAGCACATGGATATAGTTACGTTGATGCCTAAATTGCCATTTTCTGCAAAGAGCTGTGCAATGCTGGTGTCAAAGACTAGACAGTCACTATTCATGATGGCTGTGGCAATTCCCTCGTGGATGGACCGAGGAGTTGCTTCCCAAGTCAATCGCCGCCTGTGCCCGTTTAGCTCGAGCCGGTAAGCAAAGTTTTCTGCTTGCTTGCGCGTTCCTATCAGCTGTACGATGGCAAAGAACTGCTGGTGACCATCATACTTCTCCTGTTTCTCCAGCACTAACATGAAGTGAAAGCCAAAACAGGACTGCATCATCACCCAGTCAACAGCACCAGGAAGATTAATGTCTGTGGCCAGGAACACTATATCTTCTCCCTGAAGGGTTGTGATGGACTTGTGCTGATGCATCAGGTGTGGCATGACAGCATCCAGGGAGCCTTGCCACTTACACGAGGCCCCGGGGCACGGGCAGGAGTAAGGCCTGAACTCACACAGCTCCTCGTGGTCTGCTTTCTCCGTGTGTGGCAAAGTTATCTCACATCCAGAGGAGGCATATTTACAGGGGAAGAGTACGGAATTGGCAACTTTCTCCATGGCCAGGTTACGGATGGAGCCCAGGGGGCCTCGGCAGGTGGGGCAGCACGTGAGCTTGGGCCGACAGTTGCTACAAACGAGGTGGCCACTCTGACACTGCAGGATGGGTGGCAGCACATAGTCAAAGCAGACAGGACACTCGAAGAGGCTGGCCAGGTCATTGTTGGAGGCGGTGGTGCCGGTCAGCGCGGGCACTCGCTGCGACGGGGTGCACTTGGACGTACCCGTGGGCAGGGCGGTCGCGGTCTGGCGGCTCATTTCTGCAAGGGACAGAGAAAGAGCAGTGAGCACCTAACCACGTCTTACTGCCCTCTGCAGCAGCATTTCTTGGCTTACAGAGATGGTCCAAATGAAAGCAAAACACCTTGTAAGCAAAGGGTGGCCACGTCGTGTGTGGAGGATCAGTTCTGCACACACGATGCAGACACTCATGACATGGAAATTCAGCAAGTGGAGAAGTTCTGCTAACTATTCTGAAGTTCCCTATTGGAAGGTGCAAGGGAGAGGTAAAGATATGCTAAAAATAAGAAGGTGGTAGTTGTTTGTTTGCTTCACTGAGCTCCCTTGTGTGAACAACTTGTGTGAACAGTTTTACAGCTGAACTTGAAGCTGCTGTGTATGAGAAACAGCCAATGGTAATGACAAAACTTTTCTGGATAAGACCAATCATGTTTACTGTATGATTATTTTTTTTAAAAGCTGAAAAACAGTAACAAGGAAATCCACAGTTCAGACTATCACTGCCTTGTCTCTGCCAGGACAGGACAGTGACTCCCCATTGTCACTCACAGCTTGTAAAACACCTCCACTGCTTCAGCCTCATTTGTGAGGACACGAGAGAGGAAAAGCTAAGCCATTATTTTACTGAATTTCCCAAATAAGACAGGAAGATCAAAGGATGGAATTTGAGAATTAATTTTACCATGTAAGTACTGGCACATTTGCAGCCCCTTGACCAGGCCCTGTTGATGAAGATCTCATTCAAAGGAGCTCACACTGCAGTTTTGTCCTTCCCAACGTCCCCAGACCAAGGTGACAGCTGTGACCACACAGCATTCCACATATGCAGTGCCAGTACTGTACTTCTGAACATGTTATGGATGCTACACTTCTTCCTGCACCCCCAACTCCTTCCTCTTGTGCAAAAGGAATTACTAGGACAGCCCGAAAAAATAAACTTTACCTTTGTAGGTCAAAGACAGTTAAGTAAAATGTTAAGCCAAATTGGCCTCTGTTCTGCAGTACAATTCTCAGCCACCTTCAGTGCCTCCTTTGCGAGTACACGAGCTCTGTGTCTGTCACGTATGTACAGAGCACTCAGAATAAACCTCAGCTTTAATCTCCTGCTGCTTGACATGGGAATATTAGGCAACAGGCAAGCTTCCCATATTTAGCATCATTTCACCCACAAACTTACTCAGACTTGGACCAGACACCTCAGAGCTGCATACTGTGCATGCTTTTGCAAGACATGCACTGTGCAGGGCACAAAGCAGAGAACTAAGGGATTCCAACTTGCAAAATTACTTAGCCCTCGACATTTGAAACAGAATCACAGACAGACAATTCCAAATTCCTCTACAGAAGCCCCTCTGCCCAGTCCAGAGCTGGAAAAACACGAGTGTTTACCATTCAACAGCCAGTCACTCATAAAATGAGTCTCACAAGGTCAATAACAGCATCTTCTCACCCCTCCAAAGTCTCTTCCTTCATCTCAGGCTTGGTGGTCTAGAAATATCCAATTCCCATCTTTGGGGATAAAAAAACACTCAACAGTTTTTCGTGCTGAGCCTTAACGGACACTGGAGAGATCCGACAGGAACCTTTGGGGATAAAAAAACACTCAACAGTATTTCGTGCTGAGCCTTAACGGATACTGGAGAGATCCGACAGGAATGTTTGTGTCTTTTGGCTGTATTTTCCTCCTGTGAGACCCTCCAGCTTAGTGCAGAGTTCAGGAGGCCTGTGACAAACCAAACGTGTGCTGTGGCTGAGGGATCTGAGTGCTGAGGCCTCTGACAGTGAGCACTGCTGTGCTCTAGAACAAACACCACACACCAACTCTGATCACGCTGTCCACTTGGAAAGAGCTTGAAAATCACAAGCACGTTCATCTGTAAAATTCTGAAAGTGTTTCCCTTTGACTATGACTGTAAACACATTTCAGAACAGTCTGTGTGTGCTTCACACTGCTGATCCAGGGATCCCAGGGAGCTGCAGATAGGGAAACCTCTGTGTCAGACCAGTTCCCCAGGCAGCCTGACGAGCTGGGTGAGCTCTGCTGTCTTTAATTACAGCTCTCAGGGCCCATTCAACAGTTAAATTAAGCAACCTCCAAACTTTGTGACAGACCTTACACACAGCACTTCTCACTTGAGCTACAGAGGCACAGGAGAACAGAACTGTGTTATCACTGTCCTGTGTGAGCAGCTCTGTGTCAGACCAGTTCCCCAGGCAGCCTGACGAGCTGGGTGAGCTCTGCTGTCTTTAATTACAGCTCTCAGGGCCCATTCAACAGTTAAATTAAGCAACCTCCAAACTTTGTGACAGACCTTACACACAGCACTTCTCACTTGAGCTACAGAGGCACAGGAGAACAGAACTGTGTTATCACTGTCCTGTGTGAGCAGCCTTCACACTCCCACAGCC